ACACTCAATGAAAATGACTAATAAAAATATCCACAACAAAAAACGGACAATCAAAATTCTTTGAAAAATAATTAGTTTTATATTATACCTTTTACCTATATTTTACATGACTAACTTGATATCATTTGTACAAATTATATGATTTTAGACGTGTTTTCCCAACCCTTAATCTCCGACCAATGAATATATTTGTTATTAGGGGGATTTTATGTTCTCAGCGACAGATGATCTGACAAGCCAAGCTCATCCACTGCTAACAGTGGGGGCTAGCTGTTTGTTAGCAACACAGGGTTAGCCTTGATAGTAGCTAGCGTAACGTTACACAATAACATGAGAAATGTGTGGTCAGAAAAAAATAACCAGAACACATGATGGCTGCAGTGTGCAGGCACTGCAAAATGCAAATCAAAAATAACATTTTGCATTCATGTTTTGTCCATGGATCGCACTCAAGTAACAACACCGTGACAACCATCCGGGTAATTGATTGCCTTATATCGCGTTAGCTGAGGGCTAGCTGCGGAGGCTAAACGCCAGCCTCCTGACTCAGAGCCAGGACACTTGACTCACCTAACAGTGCTCGGAGGTGTTTCAGTCTGGTCATCACATCCTTCTTTGGGTCCAAAACTTTCTGTGTAGATTTCTTGACATCTCCATGCCCTCTTCGAGTGAACATTCCGCTTGAGAAAAAGGCAGTAGAGTGACCTGTGAGCAGCACCTCTCCAGTGTGACTGTCACTTTCCTCACCACCACTCCACTCTCACAGGGTAAACATCGACCCACAGCCGCTGCACTCTTTGTGGGTGTGTAAACACGGAAGTGAACGCTGTCAGAGGAGGGCTCATTTCATGTGAAATACGCCCTCTTATTCCATACTAATGCGACTCACCCATATGGGTTTATTATTATGATAGACTCGCCGCATACACAAGATTGGGTTTAAACCTGTCTAGAGGATACCAACGCTCATATATTTTAAGTAAAGTAATTGCCTATGGTGTGAAAGTAAAATGTAACAAACAATGTAAAAATGTATAGCTTTTGAAGATGAAAAGTCATAACATTTCTGCATAACAGGAAGGTTAAAGCCATGCATATGCGTATAATAGTGCAACTTTTAAGGTGATAGAAATAAATCATAGCTGGGACGTTCTGTTTCAGTAGGATATGAGCTTTTCATGGGTTTTTAGCGCCCTCTGGTGAATACATTGGCCACCATACTGTAGATCAGCGGTCCCCAACAGTTCCACGGTTAGGTTTAACGTCAGACAAAATCTTCCCATATAAAAAACGACTGCTTTAATTACCAAAAATACCTTCAGATTCAAATTAATGTCAGAGGAACCGAACCACAGAAGGAAATATGATGTCAGAACTGCATTCGCTACTACTCTGAAACAGCATAAGCAAGTATTTTACTTTAACTACATTAACAATGATTAAAAACATGAAAATAAGTTATTTATTATTTCCATGCGACATTAGCTCAGTTGGTAGAGCATTGGCTTTTGGGCCTGAAGGTTGTAGGTTTCGAGCCCACCATGGGACCTACTCCAACTGCTCCCACTACTGTCTGCTGTTGTTGTGTCCTTGGGCAAGACACTTAACCCCACGTTGCCTGAAGCTCCCGCTGAAACACCAAGGCTGTGGCACCACTGATGAAGCAGCCATCTTTCTGTGGACCCACCACCTGCAGAGGATCAGCGAGGGACTGGTGCTATAAGCATCGGGTGGTAGCTCTGATTGTCACCCCCTGACCAAGAAATGGACTAATAAAGGGGAAGAAAATGAATGAATGAAAGAATATTTCCATGCAGCCTGGTAACCAATTGTTGTATTACATCTTCCATCCTGTCGAGTAGAATGCCAAATGGTGTATCAAGTTTAATAAAGGGGGATTAATACATAAATATTCATTACATGCTTTTGTTTTCTATTAATCACTAGGTGATTGATTAATGAACATACGTATATCCAGCGTCCTACAAGGAGCCGTTTGCACCAGGAGCAGAGAGCCACAGGACCCAGAGAAGAGACAAAGCTGAGGCTCCAGACCTCCACCAGGTCCAAGAGTCAGGCCCCCAACAGTTATAAATAGCTTCAGTAAGAAAATCAAATGCAAACCAGGAAAGGGAAATAACTTGCCCTGGTAATGGAGATATGAGACAAAGGAATCATGCAAAGAAAGAAAGAAATGCAAAATCTTCCCTTTTCATTAATGTTAATATTCAAAGGGGAATGCAAAGGAAATATGGCAGAATCTAAACAAATTAACACGAAAAAATGCTAAAGGAAAAAAACCAATGAAATAGAAAATAGAGGAAACTATTTTGTGCTATACATACAACAATTGACAACCACTTTAAAGTTGAAGCCCTAAAAACCGATGCTCCCATATTGACATTCATGGAAGAGACACATAGAAACAATAATCTCATCTATCAAGACGTCAAAGGCAAAGCATATCTATGATAGGATCACCTTGTTTTTAAAATCAAATAGGGAATCGTTAATCCCATCCTTTTGTAAATTAATAAATTGGTCAATCACTGAAGGACTATTTTCCACTGCCTGGAAAACTGCTATAATCACACCCAATCATACCTAAAAGACAGAAAACAGTCAGTCAGAGTTAACAATAAAACATAGGTATGTCCCAGGGCTCAAACCTTGGCCCTTTACTATTTAGTTTATTTATAAATGATCGTCTGATATGGGTTCTGAAGCATCATGTCAGTTATATGCTGACAACACCCTCTTTTATGTTCAAGCAAAAACAAAGCAATTGGCAGCAGAGAAGCTGACATCTGCAATGGTGTAAAAATTAAAAATTACAACTGAATGCAAGAAAAACTATGTGTATCAGTAACCAACAAGAGTGATACAATAGTTATAGTGGATGGGCAAGCACTACAAGTGGTGCAAGAGTACAAGTCATCGCCATAGAGGCATCACCATAGATTCTTAATTATCATTTTAAAACCAAAATTCAATTGAATTTTTTGAATTTTTAAACATATCAGAAGTAACTTCAAAATTGTACCTTAACGGCAAAATTCTCTTGCATATTAATTACTCTTTGACGCGTTGGTCTCAGGCCAGTAAGACCACATTGTTGCCCATAGACTTAATAAGAAACTGAAAAACATTTTGGACAAAAAGAAGAATTCTCATCACTATTGTAAGGTCTTTACCAAGACTAATTTTTTGAAGTGGGAAAATTTGATCACGTATTCGGACCTAATTATGGTCTATAAAACTTGAAATGGACTTGTCCCGCCCCCATTGCAGGAGTTCATACGGCTGAGTGTAAATTCAAATACGCAACCATCAAGCAGAGGAGATTGTGGAATCCCATTTAGAAAGACTTTATTTGGACAATCTGCCTTCTCAGCACACTCCTGGAACTTGATCTCGACAGAACTGAAGACCCTGACCTAAATCCACACTTTCTGTAAAAAAGTGTCTTGTGGACAAGACATGTGAACACAACATGGTCTAAAGTCACAACCCCTAATACCTTGCTGTGTGGAAAAGTGTGGTGTTTTGTGTTTTGTCCCTATGATCTTTTGTCTGTGCAAATTTACCTATTTTACATATTTTACCACATTGAAGACATTGTTGATGGTAGACACACGAACAAAGGCTTTTACAAACAGCAAGTGGTAATATACTCAGGAGAAACAGAGACCTCCAATCAGCAGCTGCCACAGTGCCAGCAGAGATAGTCAAAACAAGTAGTGGAAAAGTACAGGCTTCTGCACATTGGTAGAATGATGAGTTTAACCGAAACAAAAGTTGCTTCAAAGTGTTGAAATCTCACAACATGTTACATGCTACCCTGTTTTGTTATGTCTTTGTGATGGTGTGTTTCTGTGTGTTTGTGCCTGTTGTGTCTCCTATTTTATCTGTATTGATATCAACCTGCCATGGGACAACGGGTGAAAATTAACTCTGGCTCCAACTGTATACATGTTGAAAAAACAGTCCCACTTCATTTCATTTTCGACCCCCTTATTAATCCATTTCTGGGTCCGGGGGGTGGCAATCAGAGCTGCCACTCAAGTCTCATAGCAACAGTCCCTCACTGATCCTCCTGCAGGTGTTGGGTCCACAGGAAGATGGCTTCTCTGTCATCGACGTGATGGCCTTGGTCTTTCAGCGGGGGCTTCAGGAAATGTGGGGTTAAGTGTCTTGCCCAGGGACACAACGACAACAGATATCAGTGGGAGCAGGTGACATGGGTCATGGTGGGCTCAAACCCAAGACCATTAGGTCCAAAGACCAGTGCTCTACTATCTGAGCTACCAAACGCAATACAACAAAAAGAAAAACACTGAAATGTTAAAGTAATGTCTATATGTATTTTTTATCTCCAGTTTCTGTATAAAATTTGGGATGATTATTGAATGCAACAATTAATGATTCATTATCTCTTAAACCTTGTACTCCAGACTTTACTATTTTGTATGACATGCTTGTTCACCGGTGTTGTTGGTGTGAGCAACAGTCTATATGTCATTTGAATATAAGCTGTGCATGTGTGTGTGTGTGCGTGTGTGTGTGTGTGTTTGTGTGAGTGTACGTGTTACTTTGAGCAAACTGTAAGTTCACATGCAACACATGCACTATCTCCATCGCTGCTGTGTTTGTAAAACATTAACTTGACAATAACAATTCAAGCCTGACAATGATTATCATCGTATTGCAATGATTTTTAAAGAAGTATATGTAAATAATCATTCATACTCAAAGTCACCACAAGATGGCGCCTAAACATAAGACAAAACCCACCATATCAGTATTAAGCGCGAGGTCATCGCTGGCCCTGCGATATGTTGGTTTGGTGGCCGGAGATTAGACTTAAATCACATCATCCTGTAACTTATAAAGAGAATTATGTGGTACCCACTTGCAGTAAGAATATGGTAAAATGCACCTATCATAAAAATACTATTAGATGAATAGAACTAAATTACATTGAGTTTCAGAGACATTCTTTAAGAACTGCAGAAGTCATAGAGAATAGTGAGTGAGGAGACTAAAAGAGGAGTGGTGAAATCAGCCTCTGGCCTGTAGTTTGGTATGACATTCATTATCTGAAGTGGGCCATTCAGGAAGAGGAGGAGGATGCCTGTCACAACAGATGTTGATTACACAAAACAGGGTAGTTTTGAAGGATGCACAAATAAAACAGCCTCCACACAAACACAGGCGTGCACACACACAAACATAGACAGGGATATTGTTGGTGATTTGTCATCAGACTTAATTGATTGTAATCACCATTCCTTCCTGGCAAACCTCCACTATTCTTGAAGTGTAGGTCACTGCTCATTATCTGAGATGGCATAGACCTACAACAATCCATCAACAATAATAATGTAGCTGTGAGGTTTCTCTTCTACAACCACAAGGAAAAAGAAATATACATAGAAATATACACAAACATGCATGTATGTGTCTGTATCATATACTGTACATGTGTCTGTTTCATACAGGTGTCCGTATCATATAAGTGTCTATATTATGTCATCATAGTTACGATAAAATACACATTATTGATTAATTTAATTATAAAAATAATAGGAGGATGATGGTAATAGGTATTTGAATGTGAGTGGGACAGCGGCAGTGTTCAGCCCTTTCTGTCTGATTCTGCCTGTTCTCCCTGGGGTTGGTTCCAGATACTTCCACTACCATAAAAACATGTTCAATAGGTCCAGCACGACCTCACTTCTATCACTGTCTGGAGTGAGAGGAACAACACTCACAACATCTGTAAAGAGATTTGTAACTCTGTGAAAGACGCTATATATATAAAGATGACTTACTTAATTTGGCCAAAAGGTGGCACTGGAACATTACAAATGTAGAACATACTTCTGAAGAGCTGGCTGTCGGACTGTTTCCAATCCAAGCTTTGAAAAGCACTTGTCTGGTCTAAATTGTTCTTATAAAGAGCTTGAAAATACTTGACATTTCTCCTTATGTGGTTATATTCCTTTTTGTACAATTAAGTACCATTAAAATCTAATATATCTTGTTTCAGCACGTTAAGATGTTTGGGTGGTCAGTTGTACATTTTTCTAAATGTACATGGACATTCAATGAGCACAGAGGGGAATGAAATCAAAGGAAATGTGTTTCTTCCTCGCAATGAGACCACACACAACTACTGACCAAGCTCAACAATTATATTTGAAATAGATTGGTGTTGAATACAAATATTATTGGACATCATATTATCAATATTTGTAATATATTGTTGATGGCAAAAAATATATGCAATTTCATAATTATATATATTATATTATAATACTATGAATATATACATATTATATATATGTTATATAATATATATTATAAATATATATTACACATATATGTATTAATATAATCTTTTAATACTTGTGACATTGATGTATCAGTGAAATTGATTTAAAGCACAAATGACAGCGAGAGAGAATATAAGCATTTGGGAGCGTGGTGTTTGTAATACGAACTGTAGTTTGGAGCACATCTCTATAGAGGTTAATGAGGGAGCACTCTGAAGTAATTAGAACAAGTGCATTATAAGGCAGCAGTTTCACATAAGGCACTCATAGCAACAAACCCCATACTTAATTAAAACTCTTTGCTGACAGCATTTAGTATCTTCTCAGGTAATCTGCTGTGAAATTAATAATAAGACAGAATGAAATCAGTAATATAGAAAAAGTCAGGTATTGCCATGTGCATAATAAGTGTCCCTATCTGTAAAATGAGCGATCTTTCCACTGGAAAATGCTCGCCCCCCCTCGCCGTAATCTGATTACAATTTAACTTGTGGTCAGACGGTCTGGTGACAAGCGCGGGGGCCGTTTAATTGAAATGTCTATGCCTTTAATTGGATTCTGTTAAGATGTGAAATTACCTCCTGAAATTCAGCGGTACACCTTCACAGCAAATACAAGAGCGGTTTCCAGTGGTGATCAGTTAAGGTGCTGAAATAATGCCTTCATTCATCGCTGCAATGCTCGGAGAGAAAGAGAACAAATGCTACTGTTAAAGAAAGAAAGAGAGAAAAAGTCTTTGCTGTAGATCATGCATTTCAAAGACGGACATCTATCTCAATGAATTATTCAATTTAACAGTGCAATATTTAGGGATGCAGATGAACTACTTGCATTTATTCGTCATGATTGTCATTTATTCATTCATTCACATGAAAAGGTAGCATATATAAATTAGCACTATAAACAGTATGATCTAAAATCTCTTAATATAGTGTTTCTAAAAATCTATGCTAATATCTTTTGCATCTTGAAATATAGTTGTATGTATGAATGTATGTCTATGTATGTATATATGTTTGCATAATGTAGAAATGTAAATACTGTACAATATATTCCTGTTAATGAACTTAAATTGACTGAAATTAAAACATAAACATCTGTTTTGGTCATGGCTCCATACTGGTAACATAATTTTGAATGCATAGTTACACATAATTAATGCAGTTTTTACTTTTTAATCTTTACAAATGCCACAACCACCGTCTAATGCCATTCAAGAAAAGTTGCTTTATGATACCATAGCCGCGCGCTGGGCTTTTGACACATTCAGGTAATACGTGGGTGTTCGCCAGTCAAGCTTCCCTCACCTTTTCGAGGGTTGCGCTCTCCCAACCCTGCCTATTTAGGATTTGTGATTTTTTTTTTCCCATTCTAGGGCCTATGTCACCCTGCTGTGGCTGCGCAAAACATCCCTGGTCTCCCACTGCTGCTCCTCCACCTACAGGCATGACCCCCTGTGATAAGACTGGAGTTGGTTGCCTTTCACTGATTAGTTTGCTGGCCGATTGAAAGCCCGAGTCTGCAGACCCTGGCGTCACCCGCGCTGCTTCTACCTGCGTGCACTTGGATCGGCAGGTGGCTGGCACACGGGCGAGCATGATACTGAAACCATTATTTATACATGACAGTTTTTCTGTGCCTGGCAGCCTGCAAATGTATGGGGAGGAGAAATTTGGCTTTTCAAATATCTGTGCTATTTTGAAATCCAAAGAAATCACTCTTTTGCTACAATGTTTTACAAACTCGAACAAGCAAATCTGAAAACATGATGGCAAACCTCGCAAAAAGACACAAAAAGGTTAACATTTCCCATCTGACATTTATATTCAAGATGAGTAAAAGTGTAAATGCTGGGCCATTACGAGTGAGAAAACCTCCTCTCTTCAATAATGCTATGTGTTCCTGAATTATTTGTTTGTTTACCGTGCTACTACCGGCCCAACATGGAGCCACGGGAGTGTGAAATAACAAGCACAAGAGGGATTTCACGCCTTAACAAAGCTAGAATATATATTTTTGTTGGTGTTTGGCTATACAGCAGCGTATATGTCCTTTCTTTCTTCATCAGTTTTTTTTACAAGCACCAAACTTTACTTCCCACATCTGTAGTAAAAACAATTAAACTCATTACTGATATATATATATTGGTTCCCACGGGTAGAGTGTGATTAGGTTGGCTTATGTTACACGACCGCTCTGGTTTATCACCGTTATCGATGGTACAAACTGCATCATTAGAAAAGATAAACAGCCAGTTACTTTGGGGGGTGAATGGATACTCTGACAGGAAATCAATGATCAGATTCCCACAAGCACCTGATTAGCCGGGACACTTGCACTGGGTTAGGAAAACAGGGGGACGCCATTTACGGACAGCGCCGTCGCACAAAGAAACAAAGAAAAACTCTGAGATCTCAAACCTCCCCTATAGACGACGGGTAGTTCCAAAATTTCAGTCGCAATCCATCTTTGCACCAAAATTCAGCTCAATCCGTGCGGAAGTTTTTTGTGCAATCCTGCCTACAGACAAGACTGACACACACACAGACACACACACACACACACACACACATACACGTTTTTGTTACCTGGTGGGTCCCTTTGACAGGGCCGTTCAGAATGGGACCCATAGACATAATCTTTTTTTACCAAGACTTTAAGTAATACAAAACAGTCAATAGAAACCAAACAACTATTTTAAAGGAATTTTATTTTAGATTTTGTTTTCGAATTGCAGTGATTCTATTTTTGACATAGAATTTAATGCCACTCCATGTCCGATGTCTAAGGTCATCTGGTGAGGCATTAATGCAGGCCAGGCAGTGAGACTTCCCAGGGACCTTTCCAGTCTGTATGAAAGGTGTCATGGTCTTCTCCACAGCCTTCACCTCAGATGCAGACCATGGCTTTCTTACACGTTCTAGGGAGAGAAATAAAAATATATTAGCAATATACACTCCCAGGGTGAGGACCAAGCAGCCTGGCTGTAATCCCCCACCTGGTACACTTACCAGAAGGGGCACTGCCACTACCATGGGGTGCATCTGGATGAATGGTTGAAGGTTCTCCGCTTGAAGTTTCTTTTAGCCCGTCCGTTTGTGAGAGGATCTCTACTGCTCTCCCTGTCGCACAGAAAATAAAAATACAAGTGGCCTTTAGGGGAAAAAAATCATACATATTTTAATAATATCAAGAATTACCTTCAGGCTCAATTTGTATCTGGTCGAGGCTCTTTCCTTCGAATTCCGTCACTCTTCCCTGCTCCATGGCCATCAACACTTTGCTGATTTTGGCCAGCTCCAGTGTCCCCTCTGGTAGTCTGTAATATTGCCTGTGGATGCGAATGTCATGGCCGAGGAAGTTGGCAAGTATGTCCATCTCATTCTCTTTCATATTGAGAACTGTAGACATAGTAGCTATGTGCTTTCTAAGTTTGGTTGAGGATAGCATCTCTGGATGCACCGCACCACATTCTTTGGCTACCTGGCGTAGGGAGTCTGATCCCCTGATGTGGGTGTCTGCGCCCGGGCGGGAAAAGAAGTATGGGTTATGGTCAGAGATGGAACAGGCCCTTCTGTTCTCCACCAGCACCTCCATCGAAGCAATCATTTCAGGAGTCAAAAGAACCGGCACTTTCCGACTTCTTTTCCCTTTAATTTCAATGCGTTGAAAATGCTGACACAGCTTTTTCTCAAGTTGGGACAGTCCCAGAGCAATGTCAGAATGGATCCCAGTCTTACTTCTTAAGGTAAAGGCTGTCAGTGGCATCTTTGAAACCTCACCTTCCCTTCTTCGATTGAAAATGATGACCTCACAAAGAGTCAAAACTGCCAGTTTAGACCAATGCTTAGACGTTGGCTCACTTATTAGGGTTTGCACACATATTCAGGTCGACATACCTCAATATGTGCATGCATGGCTCTAACGTCCTCAGTCAGAGGGAGCAGGTCCGGAGTGTTCCACTTGGCTTGCCGGAGGGTCTGTAGGGCAGCAGAAGAAACACAGACGTCCCACCTCTTCTCAAAAAGCAGCCGGCTTCGTTGGAGGTTTTTAATAAATAGTTCATCAACACAATGCTCCATTTTTGAGTCACATTCAAGAATATCTGCTAGCTTTCTGAGGCTATGGCCGAGTTTGAGGGCCAAGGATGGAGTCTTGTATTGATTTGTTTCCTCATCATATCCAGCCACAGACCTGACTGCATCAATCACATGGTTAAAGTTGGAAGGAATAAAGAAATCCTTAATTGTTTTCAGTTTCCCTGCGGTTTTTGCTTCGTTAATTAACCTACCGACTTCTCTCATTTTCTGCCTAATGTAATCATGCTTTGTCTTATCATGCCCGTGTTTTAAGTACAGGTGCTCTCCGAGTCTCAGAATCCCCTTTTCTGCTTTGACAACACCCGTGACCTCATCCTGATGCATTGCCGAAATTAAAGACCACAGCTTTTTGCTGATGCCCTCCGGTACAGGCTGGGCTAGGGAGCAGAGGGACTGGACCCTACTTCTACCTGGTTTAGCCTGGGCATCTTTCTGTGAAAGCCGGCACCTGGCCACATGCCTCCACAGCGACTTTCGCTTAAGCAATGCCCCACAGTCTATACAGTGCAAAAACTCACTGGATTTAACTGGGCAATTTGGCTGTTTAGCTGGGACTAAAGTTCCAATGCCGGCCTTTAAAACCTCAAAATTGTGCTCACGGTTTCCACTATTCCTGATCAAATCAAACTGAAGTTTACGTGCTTTAGATTTCACAGGTAGAGCCAATGCTCTGGCTACGTCACTTTCATTTCCATGTTTTCTAGTCAAATGACGGGACATTTTGTGGCAGGACATTGAACAGTAGAGGCAGAAGTGTCTCTTGCTGTATACTCGCCCCCCATTTTTCTTCTTTTGCAGCTGCATGATAACAATCTTATTTGCCTTTGGTTCGTCACTTTCCGAGTCTTGAAGAAAAGTGTTTTTGATTTTTCTTTTTCCATACTTTTTTACAGGTTTCTTCTTGACAGTTAAATCGTCAGAATCTGAGTCGACTTCATCAATTAGGGACTCTTGACTAAGCTGCACAAACAACAAATAATTTGTAATCATTCTATATAACAATTTGAAGTCATGACTTGTAGTCAGCACTTACCAGTGGTTTGTAAGCGTGCGCTTCAGTGTGCTCCTCCATGATTTCTTGCAGCCTAATGAACCACACACTTGCACCTTTTTCTAGCCTGACACCTGATTTCCTCTGTTGTGCTGCTCCATGATTGGCTCCAGCCTGCTGGACTGAAATTGCCCCAGTGTGCCCCTCCTTGATATCCCGCAACCCACCACCAGGGTTCCGACACATAACACACTTTTTTCAGGAAAGTAAACCTCCAGGGGTCCTTTCCATATTTTTACAGAGACTGCATAAGGACCGTTAGAAAAGCATTACCCATTGATTATTAAGCTTGGACCAGTGGGGTCCGGTGTTCGGGCCCCACCACGTAAAACCAGTCCCCATGACGTGAGTGGAATCTCAGGTTATGGAACCCACCAGGAGTTGAAAACAAGTGCACACACACACACACACACACACACACACACACACACACACACACACACACACACACGCACACTCACACAACCCATTGGTGAGATCAAAACTGCTACTATAGATTATTTCTTCAACTCCGGACAATTGTTTGATAGTGATATTTTTATCATAATTTAACGGAAAAAAATGAAGGTATAAACATCAGTATAATTGCCTGAGAAAATAACCAAATCCACAGTTAAGTTATTACTACTACTACTACAACTACTACTGTACTACAACTACTGCTACTACAGTATTACTACTAATGTGTAACACTTACACACCCAAAGAAGCTATACGTTATAGACACAAAAAACAAGACAGGAAAAAGTACTACAACCCCATACTATTTCTCTTGTTACCATGTATAAATGTATTTTAATGACTGTGATATTGAAAGAGTGGTTAGTTAGTATTCAGAGACGTTTTGCCACAGACTTAAATGTGGCTTTCTGCTGACTGTAGCAACACGAGGTCAGGGAACATTCTGGGAGTGAATTTCAAACTTGAGTGCCTTGCAGAAAGCAGTTTTCAAAAATAGGTCTGACTCAACCGGTTTCACACTGCACATTCTAAACATTCAATAAAAGCCTTGAAGGAAAAAAAATAAATCCAAAATGTCCAATTCAATTCTATAATCTGCTAGAGTGACACTTTGAAATTCCCACTATGGACAAGGTGGCAGTACAAACGCAGATAGATGAAGGGGGAATAAAAGGGCCTTCTTATGAAAAACTTTCTGGAAATGTCACCCTTTCATGCTGTTGAGAAGACCTATTTCATATCTATTACAGCAGGCATTCTGTGTCCGATATTTCTGATTTCAGTCATCCCTACACCGCAAATCCGCTGCCAATCTTCCGCCCTTAAGAATCTCTGCCTGCCCGGTGCATTATTCCCCCCCCCACCTCCTCTCTCCCCTTCACGCTTTTGATGTGACAGAACAAACCACGACCTATTAGGATTAAGGCTTTGAAAAGATCTTTGAAGCCCGCTCAAGGTTCCTTTAAACCGTGCAATAACAATATGAGCTGTGTGGCAGGCGGGCGCTTGCTTGAATGAAGTGATTGCGAGTTCTCAGCAATGCGGCCTGGTGTCACCCCACACGCACGGACACACAAGTGGACCCACCCTCAGCCCAAGCCCAGTGGATGTCCTCTACTGTAACAATATACAAGCTATATCAAATACCAAATGCTGATGTTGTTATTTGTTCATTTTAGAGTTGGGTCCATATGGTAGCCCTGATTTTGCGTGCAATCTACATCCAAACATGTAATAACGATGCTTTTATGTAAAAAAAAAAAAAAAAAACTTCCGCAAAGGAAAGATACGCAGTGTGAAGGACAAGCACAGCCATTGACAGCAGGAGAGACCGCTTCTACTAACATAAAGAAATTGTAACCTACGTACTTGTGCGTTGCTAAGGATCTTGGAAAGGGCAAGCTGTGAGAATTTTCAATGTCCTTAAGCATAATAGTGGTTGGCGTTGGCATGGTTTACCATCTAGAAAATTAAAAGGAGTTCAAGGTGCGGTACTTTTCAGGTTGGAGAATGTGAAAAGCCAAAGAATTTTCGTTTCGTCTTTACATGATGCCTCAGCACATTGACAAGCGCATCTGTCCTCTCTCATCTGATGATACTGGAATGCCTGATGCTAAGGAGGGCAAATTAAGTAAAAAAAATGACATGCTGAATGCAAGCCATACACTTTACTTCAATCACACAGACATGGCCGAGTGCAGAATTCTATTGCTATGCATCTTCTCACAATGAAAGAGGAATTTAGCTGCTTTTTATCTCATCGCTCCTCTGAATATTCCTTATCGAGCTCCTTTCCCCTGAGGTAGCTAAAGACAGATGTGATATCAAATATTCAAACTGGGTGTTTCCTAGAGAGATTTATCATAACAAATTTCACAGGTGATCCCATTTAGATATTCGGTTTTGTGCAGCGTGTGGGTTAAACGCGGAATGGTGCAAGATGTCACCCGGAGACAGTCGGTGGAGATAGGCGGTGTGGGGGAATAAAGCCATGGGGCATGCAGGGTAACGGCCGCTCACTACACGGACCAGACTTTGATTGATCTGCCAGTGCATCTTATCGCTGTAGCTCTACATTAAATGCTATGCACACACTCTCTCTCCTGCTCCCCTGGCAGGCTGAAGGCCCTTCTATATGCCTGAGTGGAGGAGCGCTAATCTCCCAAGTAGTAGAAGCCTATCATCGTCACTGACAAAAGCCTCACTGAGGAAAGAGCATCTTGGAAATTAGCTAGCTTAAATCGCTCCTAAGGTAAAGTATATACCTCCTATACGTTATCAGTTCTGCTCTAGATTCTGACTTCCCACACTGCTACTTGTACTTTTTGGCTCGATAAGTTTATGACTACCGGGCTTAACCTCATTCTTGCCTGTTCTTCAGCTCAGGCGCTGTTATCATAATACAAACAATTGGCAATTGGCAGACTGTATGTATTCCTCTTGTGGGAAATGGCCAGGACTTAGAACCTCTTGGGTCTTATTTAATGCTTTGGCCAAATGAGCTGGGACAAAATAGCTGGGAATAAATGAGAAAAGCCTGGGCAGGCAGATGAGCCACAGCCTCCAGGGCTTTGACTTCAGCCAAACAAACATTTGTTTTTCAATGTGTTTTCTAGTCGGTGGATTAAGGCGGATGTGAACCAAAGCCCTTACACCCTGCC